CCCAGTGTAATATGTAAGGGTTTGGTTTCTAGTTTTATCATGTGCATCTACATCTACATCTTCTGCATGTAGACAACCTGTTTTCCATCATCATTTCTTCAACAGGCTGTCTTCAGGATTTTGGATCCTTGGTCAAAAATCTGATGGCTGGAGCTGTGTAGGTTTATTTCTTGGTTGTCTATTTTGTTTTGTTGGTTTTCATTTCTGTTTTTGTGCCAGTGCCATTCTGTTTTGGTTGTTACTGTTCTATAGTACAATTTTAAGTCTGGTATTGTGGTACCTCTAGGATTGCTTTATTTTGCTCAGGATTACTTTTGCTATTCAGTTTTTTATGCTTCCATATGAATTGTAGGTTTTTTTCCTACAAAGAATAACATTGGGACCTTAATGGCATTTTACAGTATACCCAATTTTACAATATTAACCCAGTCCATCTATGAACATAGGAGGTCTTTCCATCTCCTGGAATCTTCACCTTCTTTTATCAAGATTTTACATTTCACTTTGAGACCTTTCACCTACTTTGTTAAATTTATATCTAGGCATTTGATTTTTTTTAGTCTATGCTGAAGGGAACAGTTTACCTAAATTTTTCTCAGCATGTTCATTGTGGGTACATAGAAAAATATTCATTTTTGTACCATGATTTTATCTTTTATGCAAAGAGGAATAATTTGATTTCTCCCAGATCTTTAAAGAAGAGCTAATTAGCATAAATAATCCTTAAACATTGCCATGATATAAAAAGAGAAGGAATGCTACCAACCCCAGTCTATAAAGTCAATATCGCATTCACACCAAAGCTACATAATGACAAAAGAAAAAAAAGAATTATAAATCAATCTCTTTGATGAGCTTAAATGTAAAAAAAAAATTCTCCAGAATACTTGCAAGTTAAATTCAGCACCATATTAAAAAGATAATATATTTTGATCATGTTGGTTCTAAGGATACAATGGCTCCATTTATGCAAATCAAGAAATGTAAATATGTCACATAAACAGAACCAAGAATAAAAATCACACAAACATCTCAATTGGCACCTGCACACAAAAAAATTATTTGACAAAATTCAGCATCTTTTCAAAAAAAAAATTCTGAGGAAGCTATGTATAGAAGAAATCTACCTCAACGTGATTAAAGCTATATATGACAAACCTTTAGCCAACATCAAAATGGTGAAAAACGAATTATTTTCTCTAAATTAGAAGTAAATTTAGTGTAATGCTGATTTAGAGAAGGTTTTGGTTCCACCATCTAATGTAAATGGTAACTTTGCTGAGTACATCAGCTTGGGTTGGCAGTTATTGATCTTCAATTCTTGGATTATACCATTCCAGGCTCTCCTTGTGTTAAGGGTTTGTGTGAAGAGCTCTGCAGTGATTCTGATTTTCTTCCCATGGTAATATAGCTCCTTTCTTTGATTTTGCCGCATTTAAAATCAACTGGGGAATGGCAGCCAAACAATGGGGAATGACTCCCTCTCTAATAAGATGTGGGGTTCCTAACATGCATTCCCCACCCACACATGACATCAACAATAAAAACAAATATATGAGCAAGCTGAGAGTCACAGGAACTGAAAACAAAAACTCGCAACTGCCACATCAGGATGCAAAAACACGAAAAGCTAACCCCCATCCCGCAGGCCACGCCTGCCGTGTGCAGAAGCAAGCCTGGCAGCTGCCTTGGCCTCTAGAACCCATCTGAGAACTGCCACCTTCAGAAGCAGAAAACTCCCACAGCACTATACCCAGACAGAAAGAGACAGAGACCAGCTGGCAAGCCACACTCAGACCCGGAGAACTCCCAGGGCACCACCGGTCAACCTGCACCAATGCAGTGGGACTGTGAGAGAACCCTAGCAGCCAAGCAGCAGGAATGGTCCATTGGCCATTGGTGGGAGGGCGGGACAGCAGAAGCGGCCTAGGGTCTGAGCAGTGGGAGCCATGCAATGGGAGCAGTAGCCTGGCGGTGGGTGTGGCCAAGTGGTCCAGACATGGACCCAAATCTAACCTTTCTGGTCCCCAGAGCTCCCTCCAACTTCACAGGGCCGAGCACAGACGTTTGCTGGACCGAGGACCCAGTGCAGACTAGCCTGCCCACTGTAAACTAGTCCGGGCCAAGCAAGGGCTGCCACTTGTCACGCATGAACACGCCAAGCTCAGGCCATTGCCCTGACTAGCTCTGAACCCAAATGCCCAAATCACAACACAAGATGACAAGATTCATGAGCAATCAAGATGACAAACCAAATCCAATAGTCAACAAGAATCCAGGGAAGGACTCCCATGAGAATGAAGAAGAGCTGGAAGATAAAAGAACCATTAAAGAAACGATGACAGGGGGAGGGAAGGGATAGTGGGATAACAAGGAAGGGAAGGGGTAACAATGATCGACAAGTCATGTACTCATTGCCTTACTCATGCAACTGTAACCCCTCTGAACACCATCTTTACAATGAAATCAAATTTGAAAAATGAAAGAAATGATGACAGAACTACTCAATAATATAAAAGGTCGATGCAAAAACAACTTCAAGAGCACAAAGAAGAAATGACAAGAAAATCCAGGACTCCTGAAAAATATGGAGAGAAAAAAATGACATGCTATACACCTCACTAAAAGATGACATGGACACTATGAGAACTGATATCAGAACTATAACAGGTTTAATTTCCACAATGGGAACCACAGTGGAATCCATAGGTAGCAGAATAAGTGAAATGGAAAATAGAACTTCAGAAATGGAAGACAAGCCGGGAGAGCCAGTGGTTCATGCCTGTAATCTTAACTATTCAGGAGGCTGCGATCTGAGGATCGCAGTTCAAAGCCAGCCGGGGTAGGAAAGTCCATGAAACTCTTACCTCCAATTGACCACTCAGGAAACCAGAAGTGGCACTGTGACTTAGTGGTAGAGTGTTCACCTTGAGCTGAAGAGCTGAGGGACAGCACCGAGGCCCAGAGTTCAAGCCCCATTGTTGGGAGCCGACAGTAAAGCTCCAAGGTCATCTTGACCCTTGTGCTCACTTGAAGGCACTTACAAGGGACTGGCTTTCATGAAAAACACCAGGTGTCCGGGTTTGCCTTGCTGTGTCTGTAGAATTTGCTTTGCTTTCTATCAGTTGACCTTGTCTTGTTTCTTTCTGCACCCTTGTTTTTATTAAAGACTTTTCTTGCTTTTCTGCACTATGGTGACCTTAGGTTACCTCTTGATTTCTAATAGTATAAATAAGGAGAGTTAAAAATAAACGGGGCTGCAGTCTTGAGCTGCAGACCTCCCGACCCCATCCTTTGTCTTATGTCTTTATTTTTCCGTCCTTGCCCCCTAAATCAGGAGTCCCTTTCATTGCCGGCTGGTTCCGGCAAGTGGCACCCGAACAGGGACACTGAAAACCTGGGATCAAGGCAGAGGACCCCACTAAGGTAAGAGGACGCGTCCGGAAAAAGAGCGGGTGATAGTATAGTCGGGAGTAAGAAATTATGGGGCAAGGAAACAGCCGTACATTATATGTGCAGGCTCTTAAGTAAGGGCATGCTTCAAGCTTGAGGAGTGAAAGTTGGACAGAGTCAATTAGAGAGTTTCCTTCGCTTTATCGAGGAAGTATGCCCCTGGTTCCCGGAGGAAGGAACCATTAGTTTAGAAATTTGGCAAAAAAATAGGAAAAATGATTCAGGAGCATTATGATGCAAGTGGCCCTGAAAAAACCCCAGTGGATGCTTTTACACTTTGGAATTTAGTTCGAGCCTGTCTGGACCCCAGACATGAACAAATAAAATTTAATCAGTTGATTGGGAAAGTTGAACAGGGTACCGAGTCTCGCCCTGCTCCGGGAGCGCATACTGCTGCCCAAAAGAAATCAAATAAATTGATAAAAGTTGAATCCATTGAGTCAGAAAATGAGAAAAAGTCAGATGGCTCGGATGCTGAGGAAAAATCAGATGACTCAGATACTGAGGAAAAAATATATGATGAGCCTACTGAGGATAGAACAGTCCATTTTGAGGAAATGTTAAATTCAGTTATAAAAAAATTGTCACAGATTGAAGCAATGCAACGACCCCCTTTAAGGGTGAATGTTTGTGAGCCCTCTTTTAACAGCTCTGGGGGACTCAGATTTCTTTCCCCCATCCCCTCCGCCTGTTATTCCCCAGGCTGCAGTCTACCAGGTCTGCGCAGCCTAGTCGGCCCAGGCCTTTGAAGTTATCTAGTCCTCCTAATGATGAATTCCCTCTTGGGACCGGGGCTATTTGCCCTCCGAGGCGTAGTGCCTTGCAGCTCTCATTAGCACAGGCTGCTCAAAGAGGGGAGGATATTTCTGGTTTTCATTTATTTCCTGTAATGGAGGACCAAAACCAACAAAGAACTCGCCAACCTATTCAATTTAAACAAATAAGAGACTTGAAAAATGCTTGCGCTCAATATGGACCTACAGCTCCATTTACGCAGGTAATTTTGGAAACATTGTCTACTGATGCTTTATGCCCTAATGATTGGAAACAATTAGCTAGAGCTTGTCTTAGTGGAGGAGATTACTTGTTGTGGAAGTCTGAATTTGTGGAACAGTGTCAGGCCACAGCAGAGGTTAATAGGGCTAATAATATACCTACTACTTTTGCAGAGCTTGCTGGGGAAGGTGCTTATAATGACATCCATACCCAGTTAAATTACCCTGTGGGCGCATATGCTCAGATTAATGCCGCTGCTAAGCGTGCCTGGAAGAAACTTCCTAACTCTAATAAGACTGAGGATCTTTCTAAAATTAGACAAGGACCAGATGAACCTTATCAAGACTTTGTCTCTCGGTTACTAGAGGCAACAGGTCATCTCATCCAAGATGGGGATGCCAGTATGGTTCTTGTACAACAATTGGCATATGAAAATGCTAATGCAGCTTGCCAAGCAGCCATTAGACCATTTAGAAAAAAAAAGGAGGAATAACTGATTATATTCGGCTCTGTGCTGACATTGGCCCATCATATATGCAGGGCCTCACACTGGCTGCTGCACTTCAGGGACAAACCATAACTGAATTCCTCCGCACTCCCCGGGGAGACAAAAATGGAGGACGACGTCCCCGAGTTGCTGGACCTCCTGGCAGCTGTTTTTCTTGCGGCCAAATGGGCCATCTAATAACTCAATGTCCTAATCAGAAAAAGGGAGCTAAACTAAGGAAATGCCCCCGATGTAATAAGGGAAGACATTGGGCCAGAGATTGTAAATCTACTTTTGATAGTGCAGGCCGCCCGATTCTGGAAAACTGGCAGAGGGGCCAGCCCCTGGTCCCTCAACAAAAAAACCGGGGCAGCCCCATCCTTTTCACGGCTTCAAGCCTACCAGCTGGCAACCAACAGCAGCAACAACAAACGGTTTCCAGTCTCCTCAGAGCAACCCCAGGAAGTGCAGGATTGGACCTCTGTTCCTCCACCTACACAGTATTGACTCCTGAAATGGGAGTTCAAGCTCTGCCTACGGGCATAGTTGGCCCCCTTCCAAAAGGATCCGTTGGTCTGTTATTAGGCCGCAGTAGCTCGGCATTGAGAGGCCTACATATTACCCCAGGGGTGATAGATCAAGACTATACTGGAGAAATAAAAATTATGGCCTCAGCGCCTACTGGAGTTATATCTATTTCTGCTGGGCAAAGAATCGCTCAGCTGGTCCTAGTTCCTTTAATCTCTGTTGGAAATTCTGTTACTTCTGCCCCAAGAGGCACAAAAAATTTTGGAGCCTCAGATGTATTTTGGATTCAAAATATAAAACAAGGAAGGCCTGAACTTATAATTTATATTCAAGAAAAGCCTTTTCAAGGTGTGCTGGATACTGGAGCAGATGTATCTGTAATAGCTAAAAAATATTGGCCTTCTCACTGGCCCCTTACTGCCTCTCTCACATCCTTACAAGGAATTGGCCATGCTACAGATCCACAGCAAAGCAGTGCTATTCTCAATTGGAAAGATGATGAGGGCCATTCTGGAACTTTTCAGCCTTATGTGCTGGATCATTTGCCCATTAATTTGTGGGGGAGAGATATTATGGGAAAAAATGGGAGTTTATTTGTTTAGTCCAAATGATGTAGTCACCCTACAACTCTTAGATCAAGGACTGCTACCCTCAGGGGGACTGGGGATTGGTCAACAAGGCATTAGAGAGCCCATTCAGCCACAGCCCCGACCAAATAGACAAGGTTTAGGATATTTTTAGCGGGGGCTGCTGCTCATCCTGCCCCTCACACCGATCCTATTAAATGGTTATCAAAAACTCCCGTGTGGGTGGATCAGTGGCCCCTATCAAATGTAAAGATTATTGTTGCCCAGCAGCTGGTACAGGAACAGCTGGAATTGGGTCATATAGCTCCCTCTACTTCCCCATGGAATTCACCTATTTTTGTTATCAAAAAGAAATCTGGATGGGGCTGGGAAGGTGGCTCAGTGGTAGAGAGCTTGCCTTGCATGCCTGAGGCCCTGGGTTCGATTCCTCAGCACCACATAAGCAAAAAGAAAAAAGCCGGAAGTAGTACTGTGGCTCAAGTGGTAGAATGCTAGCCTTGAGCTGAAGAGCTGAGGGACAGCACCCAGGCCCAGAGTTCAGGCCCCATGACTGGAGCCAAAAAAAAAAAAAAAAGAAATCTGGAAAGTGGAGACTTCTTCAAGATCTCCTGCGAGTAAATGCTACTATGGAACCTATGGGGCCGTTACAACAAGGTTTGCCCTCCCCAATGGCCATTCTGCAAAATACATACAAAATAATAATTGATTTAAAAGATTGTTTTTATACCATACACCTTGCCCCTCAAGATTGCAAACATTTTGCATTTAGTGTCCCTTCCACTAATTTTAAAGAACCCATGAAAAGATACCATTGGCTAATATTGCCTCAAGGCATGGCAAATAGCCCCACCTTGTGTCAAAGTTTTGTAGCACGGGCTCTTTCTTTTACTTGCCAAAAATTTCCTTCCGTTTATATTATTCATTATATGGATGATATATTGTTAGCGCATTTAAACCCTACAGTACTACGACAAGCTTTTGGACAATTAAAACTAGACCTTACCTCTTTTGGATTAATTGTAGCCAATGATAAAGTGCAAGAGCATCCTCCGTTCACTTATCTTGGTTATATTTTGGGTCCTTATTATTTTACTAGTCAAAAATTACAGGTTAAAACTTCTCATTTGCGTACTTTACATGATTTTCAGAAATTTCTGGGAGATATTAATTGGCTTCGCCCTTATCTTAAATTATCTACAGCTGAATTAAAACCTTTATTTAATTTGTTAAAAGGAGACCCTAACCCTGCATCCCTCAGAGAATTAACAATTGAAGCGGCTGAAGCTTTAAAAATAGTAAATTCTGCTATTTCTTCCCAACATGTGAATTATATTGATTATTCAGCTCCTTGGGAAGCTTATATTTAACTACACCTCATTCTCCCACAGCGGTCCTCTGGCAGAAGGGACCCCTTTTATGGCTTTCTTTATCAGCTATTCCCTCAAAAGTATTAACTCCTTATTATGAATTGGTGGCTACTTTAGTTCACATGTGCCATGTGGAATCTTGTAAATATCTTGGACAAGATCCACATGTTATTTATATTCCCTATACATTACAACAGCAGGAATGGCTTTATTTTCATTGTGATTCCAGGGCTATTGCTTGGGCTAATTCTATGGGCACAATTTCACATCATTATCCCTCTAACAAATTGCTTCAATTTGCCTTTTCTTATACTTTCATATTTCCTCGAGTGGTATCTTTATCACCTCTTTCTATGGCTGCCTTAGTGTTTACAGATGGATCTTCTAACGGAATGGTCGCTCTTACTATTGATGGAAATACTACATCCTGGGATACTGGCCTTTCCTCAGCCCAGGAAGTTGAGCTTCAAGCAGTTTTACAGGTCCTTACGCTTATATTCAGATAGTCATTACGTTATTCGAGCCCTTCAGGTTATTGAAACTGTCCCCTTTCTTGGAACAGCAAATTCCAGTATTCAAACTCTTTTTCACCAAATACAGCTTCTTCTTCACTCTCGCACTTGTCCATGTTATTTTGGATTTATACGTGCCCATACTAAGGTTCCTGGTCCATTAAGTGAGGGCAATGCTATTACGGACAAGGCTACTCAAGTTTTTCTTACTCAAATTGATTTGGCAAAGCATTCACATGCCATCCATCATCAAAACAGTCGTGCTTTACGCCCACAATTCCAAATCACTCGTGAGGCAGCTCGTCAAATGGTAAAGACCTGCCCTAATTGTACTACTTTCTTACCAGTGCCCTCCATTGGAATTAACCCTCGAGGTTTAGTTGCCAATCAGATCTGGCAAATGGACATTACTCATATTCCATCCTTTGGACGGCTTCGCTTTGTTCATGTTACTATAGATACTTATTCTAATTTTATTATGGCTACTCCCCTTGCTGGGGAGACTAGCAAGCATTGTATTTCCCATTCTCTACGTTGTTTCGCCACTATGGGACTTCCTAAATATATTAAAACTGACAACGGTCCAGGATATGTTGGACAAGCTTTTCAAAATTTTTGTAAATCTTATCAGATTATTCACACTACAGGTATTCCCTATAATCCTCAAGGTCAAGGAATTGTTGAACGAGCTAATGGTTTGCTTAAACATCAAATTTTTAAATTAAAAGGTGGGGAATTATACCCCATCTCTCCTGTTAATATTCTTTCTCATGCTTTGTTTGTATTAAATTTTTTAAACTTAGATTGTAATGGGCTCTCTGCAGCACAGCGTTTTTGGGAAAAAAGAGAGCAAAGAGCTTTTGCTCAATAAAGTGGAAGGATCCTTTAACAGGTGCTTGGCATGGGCCTGATCCGGTTTTAACATGGGGTGGAGGACATGTTTGTGTTTTCTCGCAGGAAGAAAATGACACCCGCTGGTTGCCTGAATGCTGCTTTAGGATTGTGGAGACTCATTCAGATGACACAAACGCTGACCCATTGGGCTTACATGCCGGATACCCCGATTGTGCACCCAGCGACCTGGGAGGGAGTTGAAGTACTCATTCATGTCAATAGATCAGCATACGGTATAGCCCCCGATCCTTTCATCCAATATAAAAAAATAGGAAATTTCTCAGCTTCAGGTATTGGAACTCCTTTATGTTTTACCACCAATTTTAAAAGCTCCATTCCAGGCTGTACTTTTATGCAATCCATGACTCATGAAATTTGGATCCCAGACAAAAATCTAATGTACAGTATACAAATGACATCCTTGCCAGCTGGCCAATTAGTTTATGCAAATTCTACTCCATCCTATAGGATACCCCATTGCATTAATTCCTCACAGATAATAGAATCTACAGGAGAGCCTCATCCAATAAGGTGCAGGCATATACAGCCATTTGTTAGCAATATTTCTGGAACTAATTATTGGATTGGTCTGGAGCTAATCTTACTAATCAGTTCAATCCTGGATTGTGGTGGATGAATGGACATCCTCAACATCATGTTTGGAAGCTGGTGGCTGCACTTAATAATATAACTTGGCCCAATTCATCCTTTTTAAAAAAAAATATTATGAGTTGTGTATCCCCACCCCATGTTATTATGTATGGACCATTTAATATTTCAGTAGGAGCTAATTATTTTAATGTTACTTGTTCTAATTGTTCTTTTACTAATTGCTTATTTAGCGGCATAACTGAATCCATCCTTATTGTTAGACAACCACCTTTTGTTATGCTTCCTGTAAGTATTTCTGAAACTTGGTATGAAGATTCTGGTATTCAGGTGTTAAGACAATTGAAAGAACTAATGCGCCCTCGTCGATTTGTTGGGCTACTTATAGCTGGTGTTCTAGCCTTTATTTCGTTAGCTGCCTCCACAGCAGCAGCTGCTGTGGCGCTAACTCGAAATGTACAAACTGCCCATTATCTTAATCAGCTTGCTCATAATACTACACAAGCTCTCCACTTTCAAGGTCAGATTGATGACAAGGTAGAACAAAAACTAGAAGCATTATATGAGTCAGTATTATCTTTAGGAGAACAAGTTCGCGCTCTGCAAACTTTACAGCGAGTGCGCTGTCATGCCAGGTTTGATTTTATTTGTGTGACCCCTCATATATATAATGAATCAAATTACTCATGGGAAAAGGTTGTAGCACATCTTAATGGTATCTGGCACCATAATAACTTGTCTTTAGATCTTTTTCAGCTTCACAGGCAAATAGCCGGATTAGAACAAGCCCCACCGCTGGACTCTGAAGTGGCCAAAATTGCTAACGAGCTGTTTGAACAATTTCAACGCTATATCCCTTCCCTGTCTAATGCTAAAGGATTGTTAATGACATTGCTTGGCCCCAGTGCACTTTTATTGTTGGTTTTTCTTTGCCTTCCTTGTATTATCCGTGCTCTGCAAAACTCTTTCATGAGTTTAGCCTGCCAGCTACATAAGATCAAGCTCCAAATAAATGAGTTCCCCCCCCAAGAGGAACTGCAGCCAGAGATGGGTAAGAGGGGGTGCCAGTCTGACCAACCTAAGACAGGGCCTTCAACTTTGCTCTGAAGAAGTTCCCAAAGACGGGTAAGGCAGACAAGGTGATCCACCCAACCTAAGACAGGCAGGTTGGCTTCATTGAAATAAAGACGGGGGAGATGTTGGGAGCCGACAGTAAAGCTCCAAGGTCATCTTGACCCTTGTGCTCACTTGAAGGCACTTACAAGGGACTGGCTTTCATGAAAAACACCAGGTGTCCGGGTTTGCCTTGCTATGTCTGTAGAATTTGCTTTACTTTCTATCAGTTGACCTTGTCTTGTTTCTTTCTGCACCCTTGTTTTTATTAAAGACTTTTCTTGCTTTTCTGCACTATGGTGACCTTAGGTTACCTCTTGACTTCTAATAGTATAAATAAGGAGAGTTAAAAATAAACGGGGCTGCAGTCTTGAGCTGCAGACCTCCCGACCCCATCCTTTGTCTTATGTCTTTATTTTTCCGTCCTCGCCCCCTAAATCAGGAGTCCCTTTCGTTGCCGGCTGGTTCCGGCGCCCCATGACTGACAAAAATAGAAAAGTGGAAGATAAAATAGAAAATCTAGAACAAAAAGTCAAAACTATGGGAAAAAAAACACTCAGAACCTACCAAAGAGGAGTCCAGGAATTGGCAGACTCATCCAAGAAATCAAATCCACCTATAATTGGAATGTATGAGGGGAAAGAATTTAATCAGTAAAGGCACCAAAAATCTATTCAGTAAA